GTATCAAGTTAGAAGAAAGACAGGTGACTCGTGAAGTGTTCTGACAGAAGAGCAGTGCGAAGAGATGAGCCGAAGCAGGACTGATCAGACATTTCTGCCCAAATGCAACCCACGTTGTCACTGCACGGATTAGCGAGGTGGGAAAAAAAATCCTACAATGGTAAGTTTAATGAGCCTAAGAGAAATGACTGGGAATCACACTGAGGAGCTCCTCACTAGAAGACAGGTCTGTGAAGCATCCAATCAGCAAGAACCACAGTGAAAGGAAAGCCGGACATGTTCATGTCGTGTGGGCATGTTGGTAAGCGCGCTCAGAAGAACGCTGCGCATTTCCTACGTGCCTGAAGGTACATCTGGACTGCACAGCCCTTGGCAAAGGGAATCATTAACAGATAAAACAGCTTGATGAACCGGAAAAACTATGAAAATAAAGACACCGTTAATTTTAATGGATTATTTGCAGAAGTTGGCACGGTTCTGCAGGATTAGCATGGACAGCTGGCCAGGATGCATGAGAAAAAATGTGCTCTGTAAAATCACATCATTTTTTTCCATTCAAGAGATGCTCTTCTTCTGTCCCCCCAGCCCCGGCTCCCCCAGCTCCACGCACACCACCACTGCCACGGCTCGTACCGCCGAAGGGCCGCTTTGCTGCTGACCAACCTCAGCTGCTGGCCTCTCAGCTCACAGCAGCAGCTCGCAGAAGTGCTGTATGCTCTGGTCTGCAGCCCTGCCCAGCTGGGCACCTGGCCCTTCTCTACAACCATCTGTTCTCGACCTGACACGTGCTCGACTGGTCACTGTTTGATAGTCTTTATCATTGCATGGAATTTTGTTTTGTTTTGTGGTCGTTAACTGGATAACTGCAAGGTAAGGTGACAACTATATTACTCAGGGACGCTCTTCGTGCTACAGTGTAATGATAGCGCTATAGGGATAGAATTTGGCAATAGGCACGAGGAGGCAAACTAGCTTGATAACTATTATTAAAATGAGCCAAGCTGTGCAAAATGTGAAGTGTTTGGTTTTAGCATGAAACGGCTTTTTTGTTTTTCTCCCAGTTTGGCTCACTAAGCGCTCGCACCCACTTCATTCAGCAGCATCGCAAGAGGCCAAGCACTGCCCTTGTCCATTATTTCCCCAGCTCTCCCTTCATTCCAGGCCTAAGAACAGCAATCAAATACCTCAAGGGCGGCACGCAGCAGCCACGAAGTCCTGAGCAGTCCTTGCAGAGTCCAGTGCTGACGTGCTGGTGAGAAGCCCTGCGGTGCAATGCAGCCTGCCCAGCAGATCCCAGCGCAGCGGCCGTTAGGTCACACAGCCCCAGCCCACTGTGGCTCACAGCAAACGCGGACACAGCACCTCGGTGTGGGGCTGTCAGGATTGTGGCAGAGCATTAAAGAAGTTGGTTAAGGCTGGTCTAAAGAGACTGTAACATAAATGCCTCTCCGTTCATTTCTCCCAGTTTTTTGTTTTCTTTAAGGTTATGTTAGCATCAACAGTCTCTTATTTTCAGTGCACTGCTGTTATTCACGTAGAGACACAGGTGTACGCTGCCCTTCCTGCAGAGCGAGATAACCTGTCACCTTCACCCCTTATCTTCAATGTTAAATTGTTCAATGTGCGGGACAGTATTATGTTCCAGCACAAGTGAACCTCAAAGCCCCACACCTCACTAAGTGCAGGGATAACAGCTGAACTCTTCAGTAGAAGGCATAAAATAGAAAAGGCGATCAGAGTGGTTGGGAGCTTATTTCAGACAGTTTCTTGCTTAAGTGGCCAGGGAAGATGCTTATCCTGGCTAGCGCGTATCAAAGTGGATAATTCTCATGAATGTGCTGTATTTTAGATCCTAACAAATTGACAGAAATGTAAATATGTTCTTGTATCAAATTGTAATTTTTAATTCTGTGTGCAATGGTTTCAGCAGTTCCCTTCCTTCTGTTTGCTACGAGGGATGCAGGGGAACCTCGCTCACCATTCTCATGAAGCTCTTTTCTCTCTTCACCTGGGATCAACATCCTTCTAAAACCGCATCTGTGGTGCCTCTCAGGGAGCTCTTCCCATGACAGCTGGTGTGACTCGCAGTGTTTGGACCAATTTCTCTTAGTTCTGTGCCCATTTTGAGAGACAGTGGCAGGTATTACGATAGCCACGTGTTCCCTGCGTGTTGTGTTGTGGGCTGACATCGCTACTGAGCTGCACAGATTATTTGAGTAAGTTGTTATTTAAGAAACAAAGATGGTTTTGCATGGAATGCAGCATCCGTGTGAACAGAAGTCTACAGGGTAATTATTTCAACCATCACTTAACCCAATGTTGTAAAAAGATAAACATGCACCTTTAATATTATTGAACCAGCATTACTGAAATTTTTCCTTGGCATAGTTGTGTAATCACATAGGCACTGCTTTGGATTTTTAAAATCAAATCAAGAGAGAAATCCTCCCACGTATGAAACATGTCACATCAACTTAGTTCTGTTAATATGCATGCATCCCGTGTCTCTACAAGTGGTATTTCTGTATGGCTATTCCATGTCCACAGGCATGTGTCTATTTCGGTTAAATGACCACAACGAGCTATTACTTTTATGCATTAAGGGCTAGCTGGAGCAAAGACGTACTCTCAGCGTTAATTTGTGAGGAAATATTTATAAAATATATTTCTTGCACCAGCAAGACTAAAAAGCAAACCACACTGCAAAAATGAAAACTAATATACACTTCATATTTTGTTGTTTTAAAAACCAAACCAAGGCTGACTTTCCTTGTAGCTCAGAGTGCGGCACACAGAAGCCCTGTTTTCCTAACAGGGATGAACGTTACATGCTCTCAGCTCCTTTTTGTCTTTGCAGCTAGTGAACTGAGTACTTTTGGACCTCTTCTTCACCATCATGTAGCGCTCCTGAATTCCACCTCCACAGAGCGTAGAACATTCTGTCCAAGCAGTCCATGGCTTCAGCCTACAAACTGGGGGGAAAAAAAAAAGTCATTTGACCAAGTCTAAAGCGTACTGATATGCATGTCTGTACTTGCATCTTCAGAATTGAGGCTAGCACATTGTCTAGTTTATGGAGCATGTAATTAAGGAACACAATTAAATACACACGAGGTGCATTTGACAAACACTGGAAAATGGATTGAAAAAGAAATTTCCGATCTCCATTATAAAACATGGACATTGTTGAATGTCAGACAAGCATGAGCCACAAATGAGCAGCGATTCACAGGCTGGTCCATAACCTATACAGGGTACTGTGTGTTACTGACCGGAGGCACCCATGCTTGAGCACGGCCCTTGTTCCAGAAGGAGGAGCTCTCTCCCACTAGTCTGGATCTGAATCAAATGACCGAGGGAGCTGTGTCCAGATCACGTTGGTTACTGTGATCACACAGGGGCAGATGCAGGCCTTTCTCCATGCTACCCTAAACCTGCATCGTATTTTTGGATCTCAACCAAACACCGAAACAGCTGTACTCTGTTTTGTTGCTAAAGCTTACCCTTGACTGTTACACTGGAAAAGGTTACCAGAGCATGAAGAGCTGCTCACAAATTCTTCCCAGTTATCAGAAAGCCGGACACGAGCACACTAACCAATGGTTTCACCCTCACCTGGATATTGCTCACTGTCAGTGTTCTTTTTCGCTTGTTCGGTTCTTCTCTTCTCGCGGGCCTCCTTCCAGCGCCTTTTTTCCATACCCGGCCCTCTCAGGCATTTCCTCACTCGACATTTTGTACGTTGCACAGTTTCTGGGCACGCTGTTCCTCCAAACTGTGGTTCTATTTTTATCATTCTTGTTCTGATCATGTGGCCCTTTCCACATGAGGTGTTGCATTCAGACCACTGGGACCACTCTGTGAGCTCGCAGTCAATGGCTGCAAAGAATGAGAACTGTTACAGGGAATCTGCTGTCTGGCAACCTAAGCATAAGGTCAAAAAGAAACATGCAAACGTGACCGGTGAGAAGCTGCATCCTAAATACACAAATGAGAATTAAACCTCCACTCACCCAGCAGGTTTTGTGAGGCTGTACATTAAAACGGTCTGAATTCATCTCTAGCAAAAATACTATTTGACGATTCCCTCCCGCTTCTTTTTCTAGAGTGGGGCTGGCAGATTGCTTTCTTAGCAACAAATGTAAATAATTTCCCTGTGCCTTCTTCAATTTTTCATTATGTACATTTATACTAAAAGATGTTAAAAATCAAGTTACGTTTACAAACTGATACCTGAAACCTAAGCCTTGCTTTAACTGGCAGATGTACAGCTGTAAGCAGTCCATTTTGAGGCCCTGCATAAAACAGAAGAAAACAAAACAAGAAAAACCTAAAAGGAGCTTTTATTATTTTTTTTTTTTAAGGCACAAAGGAAAGAAAGTAAATAATATTTATTTGCTGCAGAGAGGGACCTGGGCGTCCTGGTGGACAACAGGTCGGCCATGAGCCAACAGTGTGCCCTCGTGGCCAAAAGGGCCAGTGGCACCATGGGGTGCATTGCAAAGAGCGTGTCCAGCAGGTCGAGGGAGGTGATCCTCCCCCTCTACTCTGCCCTGGTAAGACCTCATCTGGAGTACTGCGTCCAGTTCTGGGCTCCCCAGTACAAAAAAGACAGGGATCTCTTGGAAAGAGTCCAGCGGAGGGCCACGAAGATGGTGAAGGGCCTGGAGCATCTTCTGCTATGAAGAAAAGCTGAGTGAACTGGGTCTGTTCAGCCTTGAGAAAAGACAACTGAGAGGGGACCTGATCCAGGTCTGTAAATATCTAAGGTGGAGGGCAGAGCGGCGAGGCTGGACTGTTTTCAGCAGTGTGTGGAGATAGGACAAGGGGAAACGGCTGGAAACTGCAGCATAGGAAGTTCCGCACAAATGTGCGCAAGAACTTCTTTACAGTGAGGTGACGGAGCACTGGAACAGGCTGCCCAGGGAGGTGGTGGAGTCTCCTGCTCTGGAGATGTTCAAGACCCGCCTGGACACCCACCTGTGCGACCTGGAGTAGGAACTGCTTTGGCAGGGGGTTGGACTCGATGACCTCCGGAGGTCCCTTCCAGCCCCTACGGTTCTGTGAAAGGCTGCTCGTATCATTAAGTTGTGTCTTAGAAGCTTTCACCTTTTCAGTACTCCCTAAAGCTCACACCCTAGTAAATAATAACCAAAATGACATTTCACATTATTTAATAAAGCAGAATTAGCAAACTGCAATACAAGAGCCTTTTCTAGCCGATACTTTTTGTGAAAAATAATCTAATTAGATATAAAGCCTCAGAAACCAGCTGGCAACGTGGCACTGAAAGCAATCAGATCTTGTTCAGTTTGCAAAGCCTTAGGCTGTCGCTCTTAACAAAGACAGTGAGGCAACCAGGAGTCGACACCACCCACGAAGGGTGAGGTTTTGGTTGAGTAAGGTCTGAACTGAAATGCTGCTGCCTCCATGCCATGCACTGCCCTATGAGACATTCCTGGATGGCGAAGGGATGTAGATGAGTAAAAAGGTACAGCACAGGTCAGAGCTGTATCAAAGACGGAGCCTTTTCTTCTTAATTTGTGGACTAAAAGAATCTCGTGAGCAATGCTAAACTTTTATTTCCTTCCTTCCTCATAAGGGCACACTCTGCATTTGAGTACAAAATAGGCCATACTTATCATTCATTCTGACTTGTTCGCTATTGGGAAGTGCACAAAGTGTTGCCTGAAGTTGTGGTATTATGTTAAATATGGAATAACCATATTCCTCAACAGTATTGCTCGTCACCACAAGACTAAGTAAGGCAAGATAAGGACACAGTTATAATCTAGCTCTCAATAGCCAAAAGTACACAATGAGAAGTACAATAAAATGCCCCTACAGGTGGATTTAGGAGTAATACAGATGGAGAGCAAGAATCAGAGCAAGATGTATCACATCGTTTGCTTACGGAGCTCAAGGAGGCAACGACTGCTCTTACCAGCTGCTGACCCACCGTCTACAGAAACTGAAAGCAGTTTATGCAGCATTCCAGGTTTCAGAGTGCCTTCCCACAACTAACACACTATTCCAGATGTGGCCCCACCAGGGCAGACAGTGGAGTGAGATCACACCCCTCATCTGCTGGCCACGCTCTTTTTAATACACCTCAGGATGCCACCGACTTCCTTGGCCAAAGGGCACGCTGCCGGCTCACAGCCAGCCTGCAGCACACCAGGATGCCCAAGTCCTTCTCTGCGGAGCTCCTCTCCAGCAGGGCAGCCCCCAGCCTGTGCTGCTGCACGCAGTTATTCCTACCCGAGTGCAGGATTCTACACTTGCTCTTGTTAAGCCCGCTCCACTATCCAGTCCGTCCAGGTCTCACTGAGTGGCAGCACAGCCTTCTGGAGTCAAACACTCCTCCCAGCTTTGTATCATCAGCAAACTGCTGAGACTGGACTCTTTCCCATGATCCATGTAAGCAGTGAAGATACTGAACACGAGCTGACCCTGCACCAACCGCTGGGGACACCACCACTGACAGGCCTCCAGGTAGGCTGTGCCGCTGATCACAGCCCTCAAAGCTCTGCCAGTCACCCAGTTCTCAATCAGCCTCACCTCAGCTCATCTATCTTGCACTCTCTAGGCTTCATTATAAGGAATATTAAGCAAGTTACAATATTAAAAGAAAAATGAGACAAAATATTACAAATAACAATAGACTTTTGACCCAAGACCACCACACATGAAATTGAAAGCCTTCCCTTCCCCAAAGGTTTCCATCCTTACGGCATTCAGGCAGCATGCATTTCTCTGCCTGCTCCAGTTCCTCGTTGCAGTCTCCAAGCTCAGCTGCAGATTTCAGCATCCTCTGCCGGGTTCGCATTCCCTTCCCACACGTTACGCTGCAGTCGCTCCATTCAGACCATGGGGACAGAAGGCAGGGAATAGTATCTAATAGGAATATCAAAAGGCAACGAGTACTTGTTATATGTCATCTACAAAAGTGTGCGTTTTGAAAGTAACACAGGTGGAGAAGATACTTCTATCTGCCTTGCACCACCTACATTTCATCATCACTTTGGACAAAACGAGTCGCAGGCACAATGATACTTTTACAGAAGCTCGGGAAAAAAAGAAATAAGAGGCTTGCTTGTTTTTAATACCTTTTCTTTACTGCGTTTTCTGTATCTACCGTATCCATCTCTGTACATCTCAATGTTATCAGAGGATAAACAGCAGGAAAGTACATTTCAGAAGTGATTCCTGTAAATAGTGCGTGCTGTTCTTGTACCCAGAACTGGAAGCCATACTGACCTAATGTGAGATGGAATATTTACCTTGCACATTTAACTTCATTTCATTTTGTCACTGTTGAAAATCTTAACATTTCTTTAAAAAAAAAGAACCCACAAAATTAACAGAATATCCAGAGATAGGATAAGGATGAGGCTGACTGGCTGAACAAAAGGTGCAACTCAACTCCTGGACCACTCACAGGCTAAAAGAAAAGGGCACAGTATCATTCTTGACTTACGATTAAATACACCTCATATCCCATAAAATTAGAGTTGCTTATATACGTATGGCTTGTGAGTAGCACACCACTGAGCATATTTACCTACACTTAGGTTCTGTTGGTGAAAGTGGCTCATAATGCACTTTCCCTAAGGGATCCGATTCTAAGGAGGAGGACCACAAAAAGCAGTGCTGCCCGTGCTTGGGCCGTGTTGTGCAGTGTGATGGAGCAGCACGACAGAAATGATGTCTCTCTCTGCAGCAGAAGAGATGAATGCACAGACACTTACGGCACTCAGGCATCATGCATTTCTCTGCCTCTGTAGTTTCTGCCTTGCACATGGATCCGTCAGCAGGAGTCATCTTGACCATCCTGTGCCGCCTTTTCATTCCCGTGCCGCAGCTAGCGCTGCATTCATCCCACTCTCCCCACTCGGTGACGAGGCAGCTGCTAGGGGCTACGTAGAACATAGAAGATCCTTCAGTAACAGGGCTCACATGAAAACATGTATCAGGCAGTTCTTCTATTGACCGGATGTTACAAAGCTAAATGTAATACTTACAACATTCCTCATTTACAATGCATTTCTCAGTTTCTTCAGTAGGCACTTTGCACATAGAGCCATCTTCTGGGAATTGTTTTACATATCTCTCTCTAGATCGCGTTCCCATCCCACAGGAAACACTACAGGGGGACCACGTAATCCAGTCAGACATCATGCAAGTGGAACCATCTAAAATACAGAGGACCGTTTCAATTGCTGATATTTACACGATCACCTGCCCACCCACCAGTAAATCTACAGCTGCCCATTTATGTGCAGTCACTTCACCGTTGCCCCTCGCATCCCATCTTCTCTGTTGCTCACTTTACTCCTCTCCTTCCCACTTCTGTGTGCTCCGTGCACCTGCTCAGCTAAACTGCAGAGCTCATCACAGACTGTATGCATTTGTATTCTTCTGCAGTTATTCTTGTTTTTGCTATAACTCAGATCATACAGCAACGAATACCTTCTAAGAACTTCAAAAGAAAAGAGCGGCCCCACGCAGAGTTCTTCTCCTCTATCCTTTCCTCTCGATTACCTTCATCACTGCAGCCTGGACCCATGCATGGCTGAAAATCTTGGGTATCAGGACAGGGCACACTGAGGTCCAGCTGAGCTTTAAGCATTCTCTGCCTCATCCTCTTGCCCTTCTCACAGGTAGAGGAGCTGCAGGCTGACCAGGGGGACCAGTTGGAATATATGCAGGTCTCAGGGGTGTCATCTGAAAACAAGAAAAGGCAGTAAACATTAACAGCACATCATCTTCCATCTGCCTCTCTTTATACTTGGCTAGGAATTACTCCAGATGCTAACATGAAATGTTCTTTCTTTCTGCACTCTAAACCAGTCCATTTTAACTCCAAAAAACCTGACAAATTTGATTTGAAAAACAAACAAACAAACCCAACATCACTTCATGTTGAACCCCCTAACGGTTGTCTTTTATTGCTTCTATTGTTATTGCCATCTGCCAGCTACGCACAATGTCTTTCCTCCATAAATGGAGACTAACAGCACAAACACAGTAGAAAGGACGAAGAATTGGGTCACTTTTTGGCTAATAAGTGAAACTTACTTCTGCTCCTAAGTTAGTTTCTTACTGTGTTTAGAAATAACAGTGGAGAACGGAACAAAATCTAGTCTAGCACAAAGTAATTCAGAAAGTACCTTCTTCTTTCTCTTCTGGTGCTAGATCTGCTACAATATCGTCGATGTTATCAGGTACGATGTTGCACTGCTCCCCCTGCACAGAAAGAAACGACTGTGGAGGTTGGCTGTAAGAATGTGAATGTGCACAGGGGTTGGGCAGTGGCTGAGAGGCACTGCTGGCGCTGCAGCAGCAACCAGAGAAAATGTTGACTAACTCATCAGATCGTGCTTTCTTCTCTTCTTTAAAAAAAAAATAAACTGCAACTAAGCAGGTTCAGTAATTATTGGAAGTTAGACAAAGCACATCTTAAGATAGTTTAAAATGCAAAAATGTTATTTTCTACCATTATGTTCCTTGGAGATAGATTAGGGAGCAGAGTTTTGGTGGCAGGAAGAAGGAAAAATTGTGTCTTAGAGACTGTGGTTTTCACTGCCTCAAGGATTTTATGTATAAACTTGTACCTTGCGTGCAATTCTTTCAATGACAACTCTGGCTACCAGCTTGATAGATCCTCCTTCTGGATCATAAAAGGGACTCTGAGGGTGATCTAAGCTTGTAAGCGGTCTGATCTTCTCTTGAGGAACCGTAGGTTTGTTGGGTGACTGCAAGAAGAAAGAAAACATAAACATGGTTAAAAACAAACTGAGCAGAGCAGCATGCAGACACACAACCCAAACGACTGCGGATTGACTAGCTTTCATTCCTCACTGACTCAAGGTAAATTCAGGCAAATAAATTCAGGTGAGATGCACTGCAAGCCGTCCAAATACCTCATAGGTAACCCCACTGTCTGTGCCGGCGTCCCAGGGGATCAAATCCTGCACGACCTTCTGAACCCAGCCACAGTCCTTGGTGCAGAGGTCCTCAGCAGAAAGGCCCACGTTCCAGTCAGGGCTGGGCCCCAGCATAGTGAGGAAGGACATCAGGTGCCGGTGGCGATCGACAGAAAACTCAGCAGAGGGAGCAGCTCTCCTGCAAATGGAGACAGAAAGGTTTTTAGCGAGTGCATTCAGATTTTCCATTAGAGGGCGAGGAAACTGATGCTTCATAATGTGAAACACTGGCGTGATGCTGCACAGAGGTGAGAGGCGCAACGCATGAAAAACAGAGTGGAGGAAAAAAAAAAAAGCAGGGCATGATGCTGAGGTTTTGGTTGCTGGGCTGGTTCTCACTAGCTTCCCCCTGCCCCCCCCCCTCCCCTGAAGAAAAGAAAAATAGATAAGAATACAAATTCCACTGTCCAAAAGTGCTTGAAAATGTGTGTGCGTGTGAAAAAGCACTTACCAGAACTGTTTTAGCGCTCATGTGAGAGTAAGTGAGAGACTGATGGCTGCTGCCAGTCCTGGAGAGTTCAGCCAAGACTCGGGCAGGTCCCTGCCAGGGTGTGCGAAAGCACCGCCATTCATCCGGCCTTTTTCAGCCCTTCTCCTGGGCAGAGCTGGTGCTGAGACACAGTGCTGTGCCATGCTGAGCAGCTGCCACATTCCTCCGCACAGGGAAACGGAGCTTTCTGTTCAACAGCTGAAAGCTGGAACTCTTAGTGGCATCTTTCCCATGAGCAACAATGAGCACTGACTTGTTTAATACATGATTTTGGCAATCTTGTGCTACCGAACATTTGCCTGATGTCACTGCAAGTTTTCTTCAGTTACAGGACTTGGATCAATACAGTCAGGGCTTTTTTCTTTTTTCCTTTTTTCCAGCACTATGCAAAAAAATACTGCCTTACGAGCATCTGAAGCTCACAGATTCTTTATCTACATATGTCATTTTTCTTTTGCCACATTACTTGTCTTTTTGGGTCGGTACCTGCACGTACATAATGCACAGACACTGCTCTCCTGCCCCAAGGAGTTCATTTCTATTATAAACACTTGCCTCGCTGTCAAAATGGGGCTTTTTTTTTTTTTTTTTTTTTTCATTTGTGCATTTATTCTGACTCATACTGCTCTCAACACACTAAAGCAAAGAAATAAACAAACAAAACCCAACAGCCCAAGGACGGCATTCCTCAGCAGTTCTCGTGCAGTTTCAAATGCCTGAGTCAGTGTTCCCAGCTCCCTTCCCAGGGAGAAGCTGCATAAGAAGGCAATTATTAATAGTTAAAACGTTCTGGGAATCTCTGCTCGGGGTCTTCAGGAATTGTTTCTTACTGCGTAGAATGCCTTACGTTGAACTGAAGACACTGAGTAGAAGAGTTTCTAAGTGTTTGATGGCATTAATCCTCCCTTTCCCAGAAGGAGATACAAATGACTCTTTTTTCCCATGACAGACAGAAATCTGGTTTCGACGGAAAAATTTCTCTACCATAAAGTAATAAAATAATGACTGAAGGTATCAGATGCTCTCAGTCACTGCAGTGTTCTGATGTATTTAGCAAGTAATAGTGATTGTTCTTTAAAAGCCTACCGAACTGCAGGACTGACTTAGTTCAAGGAGTTTCTGAAAGGACACAGAAAGAGCCTGAACTGCGCACAAAGAACAGCGAATAATTAAACAAGCGCGTATTTGTACGCCTGATCTCAAGGTTAGAAATATGCACACGGGAACACGGGACGCTGAGATCCATCAAAGGAAAAGGCAGAGCGGACTCCCAGCATCGCATCGCACCACACCGACATGCTCCGCAGGAAAGGAAATGGGCTCTGCACTGCTGCAGGTTGAAGACAAACGACCAGAAATCACAGCAAGCCGACTTCAGGCACACCGCAACGAACGCCTTTCATTACTCGCTGTCCCTGCAGCGGGCATGATACAATTAAGTCTCCAAATGCTTTCTTAGGAAAGTAAATATTAGTTATGCAATTAATGCAATTAAACATTGTGTGTTTAAGTCTAATTGTATCCATATTTTGAAACTGTATAAAGCATAAAACACTTCATAGGAGACGCTCTACCTGCAAGACTTGGCATGAGCTATGTCACACCAGCAACCCTGAGCCTCCGGTAACTCTCCAGCTTCAGAGCACTGTGCAAAACCTGGTTCCTTCTGTAGGGCCTTGGCTCAGGGCCATTTTATAGCACTTCATCCCATGACTGCGTAGCACAGCAATGTAAAAATCGCTAGAGGATGCGCAGAGACCAGTTTTCTCTTTATTCTTCCTCCACTCACATGCAGTGTGCACATGCTGTCTGCAGTGCAACATAACATTTTAGGCAAAATATAAAAATGGTTTTAATAGGCAGCCTTGAAAAGTGTTATCATAAAATAACCTTGTTGGGCTACCTACTTCATTCTAGCAACTACTTCCTGCATGGATGCTTGTAAGCACTATACCTCGCATTTGAACCAGACCTGCACAACGTTGGCACGTGTGGTGTGCAGCCCTTCTTGCTTTGCTCTAATTAAGGAAAGGAAATGGGCTGTCCTAAGGCACAATCGAATCTCAAGAAAGTTGTCATCTGCGCCAAGTTGTGCATTTGACAACGTCCACAAGAATTCCACTGAGTTGAATTTGCCCTCAGAGACAAATATGTCGCTTTTCCCTACACGTGTACATGCATAAAAGCAGAGGTGACTATGAGTTGCACAGCAAATCCTAAACATCTGGGCAAGCTCTAGGTACAACCCTCAGAGCCCACGGGGCTGGGATTGCTGCTGTTGGTGCTTGAAGCTGGCAGTACTTTTCCACTGTGAGCCTGCTGACAATTCCTGTCACATAACACAGAGTGAAGCAAAGAACTCAAGAGTGTCCCGCATCCTAATGTTTTTTCCCAATTTTCTTTATTTTTATGCTGCTTTCTCTTTGTTAAGGTGATTTGGATCCACAGCTATAGGGATGCCACAAACGGCATCACAAGAAAATGTTCCTTTCTTATTTTTTTAGAGGTTAAAAGAGTGCAAACATGACTTTGCTTTGCAAGGTTGTTTTCCCCAAGTGCAAAATCTAACTGCTGATGCCATCGCTGCCGGGAGCTGGGGGGTTAAGAAGGTCTTTGACAATGCAGTGGAAAACTCCACTTGCTGCAAGACGTATTTTTGAGTCTTGAATCAATACTGATGTGTTCTACTGCCCTCCCCGTAAAACATAATGGAGCACAGCTAAGGAAGATTGTGGAGAGTGAGCAGACAGGAATAGTGACAGGAATACGTTGCAGAATAGAACTTGGAGGCTATTGGTGCACTGCTTGATTTGCATGCAGAGGAAAAGCATAAAAAGACAAGACAGCCAACAGACACACTCTCTGTGTCTGTAACATTACGCAGCCAACAAGTGAGTCCACCGGCAGGACTGGCTTTGTACCAACAGCCAGCTGTTGCTGCCGGCTGCCCTGTGTGCACAGGAGGAGCCCATCGCCCCGGGTGCTGCTGGAGGCGACCCCTGGCGTGCTGTGCGCCCACACTGTGGAGGCCCAGCTGCAGGCCATGCTGCCGCTGGGCACCACTGGCCTGAGATTGGCGAGCGGCACAGCACAGGAAGCTCGGCCTGCCTCTGCTCCTGCTACACGTGGGGAAAGCAAAGCACAGGGCAAGGAACAGCCAGCAGATCTGATCGACATCCCTACAAGAAGGTTGGGACATTTTAATGCCAAGCTGCTCTTGTCTGAGTGCCACATCAGAGGCAGTGACAGCAAGAGTCTATTTTGTTTTGCAAAGAGTAAAGAAACCTGTCACCAATTCTCAACCATTTGTCTTTCTGCTTTGGAAAAAACACAGAACCCAAAAACGCTCCCTTGCTTTGCTATGCATCAGCTCTCAAAATGAAAACAGCACCCATACCCAGCTAAAGAACGCAGACATACACAGCGGAGAAAGGGATTGCCTCGTCACCACTGACATGAGAGCCGCTAATCAGAACAAACGCTGCTGCGAAACGGCACCGCTCAGGGCATTTTTAAAGCATTACAAAAGCAAGGACTTCACACAGCAGGTCCTTTCAGCTTTTCCATACTGTCAGCTAGAAGTACCTTGAATGCCACTTCAGGTAATAACGACATCTTATTCATTAACATGCCAGGCATTTACTTTAATACCTCCAGCACGGTTCTAGCATATAAGAAACGTGACCAGGCTTTTGTCACTAGGAAAAAAACTCTGAGATATCTCAAGTTAGGACCGTAGTCTCTGAAAAGCTGCCTTACAGCAAATAGATCCTTCTTGACTACAGAACCTATGAGGCTAGTTACTGAAATACCTGCAAAATGGGGATACGCCTTCAACTTACCAGCAAAGACTTTAAAATATTCTCATGCATTTCAACACCTCCTATTTTGCAAGTGCCAGGAGCTCAGAGTTTTCCCCCTGAAAAGGACCAGCATCTTTCTGCCTTCATTAATACAACACACAGATCATTTTATCTAGCCTATACAAAAGACATGTTTATGACTTCTGGTGTCTGAAAATGAAGGTTAGGGTAAATCACATTCCTAGCAATGAAAATAGCAATTCAAAAATTTAAATTCTGCATGTAGATTCTGCTATTAAAATATATATAAAGATACATGCATGCAGGTTTAACTGGTAAACTGCTCCCATGATTTTGAAGCACTTATGCAGGAGGAGGATGACAGGTTACTAAGCAGACACGTAGTTGTGTGAAAACAGTGCATACAGGACTACTCACAGAGTTACAAAGTGAAATGATTTTGGCTTAAGGAAAGACAAGAAGTGGCTGGAAAGAAAACATTAAAATAATAACTATTAATGGAAGGGATACTTAAGAAAAACAAGAGCAAAGAAAGAATGGGATGAGTCAGGTTGTTCCAATTGAATACTGCAGATCTGTGTCAAGTTCTTTGCAGTGGTTGTTCGTACCTGAGAAGCCTTTACATGTTTTAATACCCAACTTTATCTTGGCCAGTGACATTTGAATGTTAAATAGAAAGTGGTAAGTGATAGAAAATGGAGCTGCCATATGTGGTTGCTCTGACAAAAAAAAAAGATGGAAAGGTTGTTTTTTTTCCTTTTCCAGCAAACACATACATCCTTCCTTACTCTTCTGAGAAGGAATTACGAATTTCTTAATGTGGGA